AAGAGAAACAACTCTTTTCATAACTATTTACTGCTTTCTTTTGTTGCTCTCTTAACTTAAAAACAATGTACATCATGATAAAGTAATTTGTTATAGGACACCGTGAAATGAGGCCCAAACAGCTTTATGATCTGTGAAATGTGTTTCTAAAACATCTGCTTGTATATCAATGTTAGATATATTTGTATATATATGATCAATTACTGTGTTGTTGTCAGTTGTATAAGTTGATATGAACTGTTTGTAGTGGTTATCCCTCACTAGTAAATTATACAAAGGTCTTCTGTCTGTTTCAACAAGCCAATTTATATCAAAGTCTCTAGTAATGATATTGTTGTCTGGTGAAATGTTATTTAATACCTCAGTTATTGCTTCATAAAGTTGTCTTACAGGCACGTTTGGGGAGTGATATATCCCTATGATTGTCCAATCCTCAAACCTTGCTAACTTAATTACTGTTATTTCAACACCATGTATATTGTGACAATAGGGGTATCCAGGTAAGTATGGGATTTTACTGTACACAGCTGTACCACCATAAGACCTTGATCCATTGCTGGAATTAAGGTTATCATTACGGAAGAGAACATAACCAGCAATGTCATACATGTCATTATTATCTTGAGAATTAAATCTTGTTTCTGTGAAAATATTGATATCAGCACTTAGATAAATTAAGTCTTTACGTATATCTTCTATGTGTTTGTGAAGAGACCTTACATTAAGATAACACAGTTTAAGAAGGGAAAATGTTATGTCATGGAGAGGGAGATGCAAAGCTTAAGTTTTGCAGTTGTTCTTAATCTCTCCATCTGGATTAACAGCAATCTTGCTTTCACACAAATCAGAAATATATAGGCCTTCTATAGCAGTCACTCTACTGAGTCCCATATAATGTATGTGTGGAATAGTATTTCTGGTACTAAAATCCACAACAATTCTACTGTCAGTATCACCTTGTGACCTGTGAATTGTTTTTGCTGCTGCGGGACGCAGTGGAAATTGTTTTCTAACAACTTGTGCTGTTCTGTTTCTACCTACCGCAAACTGTGTAGTCACAGGGTTTACTGGGGTCCATGTGTGTTCAATTCATTGTACATACAAATGTCTTTTTTCATTCCTTGTTTTCTGACCTACATCTGAGTGGTCAAATTGTACCCATACAATACCAGATGGTTTGGTTTGTTGATGTAACTGAACTAGTTTAACAACATTTCCAGCACCATTTGTCATGCCATCTTCAGTTCGTACATTCATGACAAGGTGTGTTCTTTCACCCTCAGCAAGACAAAGGGTTGAGGCTAACTGTTTTGTTTTTCTTGGATCATTGGGTATTTGTCTTAGTATTTTGTTTCTTAGCTCTGGAGAGATAGCTCCAATAACACTATCTTGAGCATTTATTGTGAATTTGTTTCCTGTGGCTGCATTATGGGCCCTTTGTTTAAATTCATCTACTTTAGCATTCTGTATAAATAGGTGAGCTGCATCTATTGGGTTGTTGATGTCTTCTTGTATAGCTCTCTTTAAGTTTTGCAATGTCAGCTACTGTGTGTTTACCTTTACGCAACCTATTAAGTAATTCTACAAACAATTTGCTGTCTCTTTGACCCATGATTTCATTAAGTTCAAACATTTTAAAGTGTTTATGCCATAAACTGGGAGAAAGAACAGCATAAATCTACATTTTTGAGGTCTTTGAAAATATAAGCATCCATAACAGATTCTAATTGGAATAAGTCACCAATAGCAATTATGCTCACACCTCCAAAATCCTCTCTACAGCCTTTTATATCTTTAAGCCTATTGTTTAGCTGTATTGCAAACATACCATTTCCTACCATTGAGATTTCATCAACAAAAATCAATTGACTTCTCAAAGTGTTTAGTCTACTTGAATCAAGCTGTTTGTAATTTCTCAGTGATTGATTGGCAGGAATGGCCAGAGTGCTATGAAGAGTGTCACCCTTAAGCTTTACCAGTTGGAGCTAATAGTATAACTATGATCTGATGAAAATCATCACCAGCTCTAGTGTTATAATACTTAAGCACTGCCTGATACAAAGCTTTTGTTAAATGCGATTTGCCAACACCAGCCCCTCCACTGAGGAAGCAGTAGAAAGGGGTTTCTGAGGTTTTAATCTGATGTAAAATGTGTTAAAAAAATTCTTTTTGCTCTTTATCGGGTGTCTGGACCATTTGACGAAAATCAAAATCAGGTAATTCATTCAATATCAGTGGTTCATTATTCAGCAATGTTGATGAAATGTTGAGATCATCAAAGAGGTCATAGTTTTCACTAAAATCAGGATGTAAATCTTCATGAGATCCAATCCTTGAACGGAATTGGTCAATGGAGATCCCCATATTTACTTGTGTGCTTGAGCGAGCAACAACAACAATCCAACTAACTAGAAACTCAGTTTATTAAAATAGATAACACTCTTGACAGTTCAAGGCAAACAATAGTTTCTTTCAGTTTGTGACACTTTGAGACACTCGTGAGACACTTTGAGACACTCGTGAGACATTTTGAGACACTAGTGAGACACTTTGAGACACCCTGAGACTCTTTGAAGCGCAACCCGCACAAATACATTCAAGCCGACAAATGTTGGCTTGCGAGAGTACAATGACTCCTTTCAATCTGACACAACCCGCACCGAAGGTCCAAGCCGATAAATGTTGGCTTGTGAAAGCGTAAAAGCTCCTGTGCAACCTGCACTGAACACAAGCCGCGTTTCAGCGTGTTGACTTACGTGAAAAAATCTTTTGTTATAGACACCTGAAGAAATAACGAAACAAACGCCTCAGATTATGAAAGAAAGAACACAAACCAGGTGTACAAACGTAATCACCTTTCGTGAGAGCTTAATCGTGAAGCTCCCACAACAAAATTGAAAAGTTAAAGCACGCAAAGAACCCGTGAAAATATGAAATGACTTATCCTTACCTTGGAAACAAAAATCCCCAAGAAACAAACATGAAATTCCGAATAAGTTCTCCAAAACCCAACGACTGAGAAGAGAAATGGCCGCTGTACAATACACTATGAAAAAACGCCGACTGGAATCCAGTCTTCACGGCTCACTGAACGCAAATAGAAACCACGTGACAAGCACTTCTCTCTCGTGGACAAATAAATAAAGAAATAAATTTCGCGGGCGTTGACTAAGTGTGGGAAATCCCACACAAAAATGAGTATTTTGGGATCAAATATCCACTTTCATGGATTTCGAAACTAGAAGTGTTTACACAATTACCGCCGACCCACCATGAAAATTCCTTAACTTCGATACCGCCTTATAGAGATTTCCTTCAATAACCCAAGCTAATTCCCAGGTATGTTTTAGATGTATGTCTAAATGTGGGATTTAACTAGAATGAAGTCAATTTGGAGTTATACCACATGTGCAATATTGCCGTCGAAAATCAATAACAAAACGGAGTTTTCGTTATCCATAAAACCTATTCTTCATTTTTGAATAATTTCTGCTCGGCGAGTGTCGCTTTTGCTCTAAAAGAATCTTCGAGTGAAAGAAGAACAGTGATTCTGTTGAAATAAAGTGTCCAAATTTCTCCGTGCGACTTTGTTTGCGAACGAGAGGCAAGTTGATGTATGCAAATTTCACGTAAATGATTAGCCAATTTTGTGACTCCGACCACAAAAACCGATATTCTAATTTAGAAAAAAAAAAAAAGCTTTGGCGGGAACAATCCACATCAGGTATCTTATCTACCTAAAAGCTACTTATGGACAAAAAACGAAAGAAAGAAATTTTTCAACTCTTGCCACAAAATTAAGATTTTGGTCGATATTTCCTGACCGTCGCTCTTAAAAGGAGTGATTGGCGCATCATGAAACTTTAGAGGAAAAATTTTTTTTGACTGAGAGAAAGCATTTTATCGTTTGAAACAGCGAATTGTTCCAGTGGATCAGAAGATATGATTTTTTTCAGTTCTAACCGTAACACTACAATATATGATAAACATCTCAAAATAATTTCACAGTGGCGTCTCTGGCACGTAATTGAAAAATAGACTTTTTTCTCGCAGAAATATCTAAATATCTGAATATCGTGGAAACTTTGAAGAAAATTTTTCTTTATTCGAAAAGAGATCATCTCGCCATTTCAATCAGCGGTAAATGTTCAAAAGAGCTGCCAAATTTGCGAAGCTAACTAAAAGAAGGCCAGTTTAATCATTATTGGAGCCAAGGGATAGACCGACGGAGGAACAGTGGGGTGCTTGAGCTAGCCACTATAAATTAACATTACTGTTAATTTTGTTATCATAATTACTATAGTTTTCATTCATATGATTATTTGTTACCAATTTTTTATTGGTTGAGTGTCAATTATTCACTACCTTCGTGAATCATCTTTCTCTTGTGGAATAGGGCTCTCATAAGTATGTGGGATGCGGCTGGTTTTCCGCTTTGCATGCGAGACAAATCTTCTGCAAAGCTTCCCTATAGCGTTATCATACAACCTCCGCTTTTTTTCAATGCTATAAAAATTGTGCTATAGTAGCCATATGCAGTCCTAACTGCCTATTTTTTAAGAGAAGGCGTGGGAGCAAATCGTAAAGGTCACATGATCTTTCCCAAGCTGCTTTGCCGTGCTTTCCTCCATAGCTTTCCTTCCCTCCCAGCGTCTCCATTAGCTTACTGCGAGGAATCTTTGACCTATTGGCCCTAAAACATGATGAGAATAACATAGGACGGCAAAGTATATTTACGGAGCCCCATAGGGGACACACATTACTTTTTATTTTCCTGCAGCTTTTACTGCGACTTTTACTCCTGCTTTTGCTGAGACTTCGAGCGCGACTTTTAATGCGACTTTGACAGCGACTTTTACTGCGACATTTAGTGCTATTTTGACTGCGATTTGCAGTGCGACTTTTGGTTCATGAAAGGCATGAAAGCTATCCTGATTGCGGGCTCAAACCGTTTTCGAACAACATGTGGGAGCCGGTGATCGCGAGTGAGTGATCAAAGTCATCAACATGTGCGGTATCACCGATGGCACTGAAGCAAGATAAACAGCATTTCCACCCTTGATAAAACAATTCTTGGTTACATCTGGGCGCCGAGAGCTTGAAATTTATGGTGGATTACTTTTCAAAGAACCAATCTGAGGTATTTTCGAGCTGAAAATACTGAGATCTTGTTAGTTTGTACAGACGCAGCAATCTCAGTTTCGATCGCCTCTGGACGGATCCTTGAACAGGAAAACGAGTTGCCCTACTTGTACAGATCGCTTTCCAAGTGGGAAGTTGCCAAAAAAAATGGAATATTTTCCAAGGGCACAGAAAGGGAAAGATTCTTAGGGCTATACGCTTCCCGTTTTTTGAGTAGTTAATTTTAGTTAGGTGCTCTAAGCAGAGTAGAGAAGGTGACGCAGATTTTACAGTTCGATCCTTGGACTAATTACTCAGTCTTATCTCTTGAGTTTGACTCAAATTATTGAAGTAAGGAATGCAGTTTCTTTGATACAGTCACAACATGTTCCTCATTGCAGGGCCATCATTGAACCCTCTTGGTAAAGTCTGTTTCATCATTCAATTGATTCAAGATCATTTTAGGGTAAGTCACTGACGCAATTATTTAATATGCATCTAAATTTCTGCATTTAACGCACTCAACATCGATAAACATTTTAATCGAATCATCCACGTTAGTATGGATCTGTTTTGCAATTAGAGCGGCTGTATCATTTCATATTATTTGTTGTGCTATAGTTCAGGGATAGCACATAAGTTTTCCAAGACGAGCTGCGTTTTAGTCGAAGGCGGAAGCTTTAAGATAGAAAGAAGCCAATTTCTTGAACGCAATCGAAACTGAAGGTGAAATCTTACCTTATCTCATAACCACTCGGTTTCTCACGAATGAAATCTTCTCTGGGAACTCATGTGCTTTCTGATGCGTGTTGAAATTGCAATCTCTGGTGGCGTCTATTTCTGACCTTTATGATTTCAAATGATTGTTTGGCTACATGTCACAAATGCAATCAGCCGAATCATAATAACTTAACTCAAGTGAGTTGTTTTCCTTTGCCGATCTCGGAGAAGTTATTTTTAGTAATTGTCTCTCTTAGTCTATTTATGTTTTGGTGACAAAGGATTCTTTGTATTAAAACCCAGCTTGTTGCATGAGGAGAGTTGGCAATAATTTTCTGGTTTCAGACATTTAATTGCAATGCAGTATATTCTTAGGATGGACAATCAAACATTTGTAGATCAAGCAAAATTGTTATTTGCTCTGATGAAAGGCTAACGCTCAAACTGCATCTTTAGAAACTTTTTACAATAGTCATTTACATAATTAACCCCCTTGATAAAACCAAATTGACAATTAAACTTAGACAAATTCAGTTGAAGAATTTGCTTGAGTAGGCAAATTGAGCAAAATTATGCAAACACAATTGATAACAATAATAATTTGAGTATTCCTATAGCCTTATCACATAGAAATAATAAGTAGCACTTCACAATGATTCATCTCTAAAACTATTCTACACAATCTAAGTATACCAACTAAGTATATGAGACTTACAATAAAATAAAATAAATCAGATTAAATAATATTCATAAAAACTTAAATACAATAAAAATTTCTGCGGTAAAATGGTCTTAGAAACACCTGAACAGAAAGTTAGGTTGATTGCATATGAAAATTGTCAATGATGGGATAGCACGTAATTCAGTGCACAAACTATCCTACAAAGATGGTGCAACAGCATTAAAGGATCTAGCACCAAGCATTGAAAGCAATTTCTCTTTAAGCGGCTCCAGTAACAAGGTACCATTAGCTCTAAGATTGTATGCGGTCTTCACCCCAACACTAATTAAATCACTAATATACAGTAGCACTAATTCATTAATTGCCTTAAAAGCTAAATCTAACATGAAAATACTAAATTGATCCAAAGAAGCTAAATGGCTCCTATGTGCTGAGTTTGATTACTGATATATTAACCCTTTTACTCTCAGAAGTGATTAACATGTAACTTCTCCCTTTAATATCCATACATTATCCAGCAAACAGGTAATGAGAAAACTCACACTTAAGAGGTAGAGGTCATTAATGTATAAGGAAATGTTTAGCAGCTAGAAGAGAGAATTAACAATCAGATCTTGGGAATTAAAGGCTAAGTCAATGGAACAAAATGGAATCAGCTGTTGGATTGGGTGCGACTGAGTTTGGTATGCAACAAAGGTCAACCAAGTCTTCTTTTGGGTTCTTGATTACTGAAATAATCAAACTAAACCAAATTTATATGAAGACAAAAATAAATGCAACTGAAAAGTAATTTGACTTGCCCATTTTAATGGGCATAGTTGCAATTTCTTGAACTCCCCTGACTAATCACTGGAGAAGTTTTCCTCACAGTATCAATACAATATTAAGGAGACAAGTAAGGAGAGTAAAGAACTATATCAATCAGGGGATTATTAGTGATCCAATACCAAATTCTCCAAACTAACATCATGAGAATTGTATAGCAGAGAGTAAGAAGAATAACCAATGAGATCTTGGAAGTAAAAAGGTTAATTAATGATACTATAAAAGCAAACTTCCCACCAATACAGTTTATTTAATTTGTTTTGATGGCTTTCACCCTTTATTCTTAGTGTTTTGTAAGAAAGATATTGATTATCAAATCTTGTTTACATATTTAAAACAACCAAAATTTGTCAGGTGTTGTTATAAGTAATTTATACTTTTTAACTAATGCTATTAGCTCTACAATTTGCAAACCACCATCTCACAGCAGCTGACTAGTGTTTTATTCCAGCAAAACAATTGTAACCTTTTTGAAAAAATATGTGTAGCATAAAACAAACTTGAATCTTGAAAATGCAAGAAAAGTACATGCCCATATCCATAGATCTGCCAAAAACCTTGAGCCATGGGAAAAAGAATACTGAAGACATCTTAAGTTCTCGTGATAAATTCTGGTACAGAAGATACAAATCTCAAACCTAATGACTGACTAACCCTCCTCACCCCACCTTACTTTGAAATAGTTGTGTAAGACTCATGCTGGTAATCATCTCCCCACAGTGTCGCAGGTCCCATGATGGTAGTCATGCCAGCACAGTGTAGGTGCCCATGTTAGTGGTCATGTCACCACAGTGTTTTAGTTACCATGTTAGTAGTTATGTCACCACAATGTAGGTAACACAATGGAAGTCACATCCCCACAGTTTAGGTAACACAATGGGAGTCATATCCCCATAGTGTAGGTAACACAATGGGAGTCATATCCCCATAGTGTAGGTACCAAGATGGTAGTCATATCAGCATAGTGTAGCTCCCATGATGGTAGTCATGCCACCACAGTTTAATTACCATGTTAGTAGCTATATCACCACAATGTAAGTATGACAAAAGAAGTCATGTCCCAGCAGTGTAGGTATTACAATGGTAGTCGTGTCACCACAGTGTAGGTACCAAGATGGTTGTCATGTCACCACAATGTAGGTACCGCAATGGAAGTAATGTTCCCGCAGTCATTCAGTCAGTCAGATAGTCATGTCACCACAGTGTTGGTACCATGATGGTAACCTGGTTAGAAGTCATGTCACCACAGTGTAGGGACAACAATGGTTGTCAAGTCATCACAATGTAGGTACCACAATGGTAGTCGTGTTACACGATGTAGGTACCATGATGGTAGTCATGTCACCATGGTGTAGGTACAATGATGGTAGTTAAATCACCACAATGTAGGTACCAACATGGAAATCAAGTCCCGGCAGTGTAGGTACCACAATGGTTGTCATGCCACCACAGTGTAAATATCACAATGGTAATCATGTCCCCACAGTATAGTGGGTCTCATGATGGTAGTCATGCCACAACAGTGTTGGTACCATGATGGTAGTCATGTTACTACTGTGTAAGTACAACAATGGTGGTGGTGTCACCACAGTGTAGGTCCTATGATGATAGTCATACCACCACAGTTTAGTTACCATGTCATCACAATGTAAGTACCATAAAAGAAGTCATGTCCCCACAGTGTAGGTATTACAATGGTAGTCATGTCACCACAGTCTAGGTACCATGATGGTAATCATGTCACCACAATGTAGGTACCACAATGGAAGTCATGTTCCACAATGTGTCATGAAGGAGTCACCAGCAGAGGTTGCATCTGCTTGGTGTGATGCAAATTGATAAACTTATTTTTAACTAAATGAGGAAGTTATGGAAGTTATTCTATTTATTGGGGAAAAAGCTTGGCAACAGATGTGAATTAGTGCTTCCAAGGCAGCTGTTTAGATTTTAGCTGTTAATGGATTCATCCAGAGCTAATACATTGTGAGAAGCTTGCATTGGTGCTGATGAGATTATGAGTTATGACATGATTTGTGACCAGAGCTGCTTGATAGTGCTGATTATGCTACTTCCAGTATTGATAATGATATTAAATAGAGGTTAGTGATGGTCGTACTATTATTGATTGTGTGGTTAGGTAGCACTGTTCCACATACATTACACACCATCTGCCTACCTTGCAGCCTGGCTGTGCAGCTGCTTGCCTGCTTGTCTGTTCGCCTACTTGACCATCTGCTCGCAAGTCCTCTCTTGTACTTGAAAGGAAGGGGAACATTTGTCAGTAAATTGCTCCCCTTATGACATTCCAGTAGTGTTTCATCTCCAATACTTTTGTGTGCAGTTTGTACGGGGTGAACTGGAATAAAACTTATCATGTTTGTTTTTAGATCAAGTGCATCTCGATAAATTAAAGGCTCTATTAAAATCCTTAAAACTAGTCCATTTATTTCTACTTTAGTTCATAAATTGTCTTGTGTAACCTGTTTAAAGCAATTGATACCTGGCTGCCTGGCTGGCTGCCTGTCTGTCGGGAAATCCTCTAACGCTTTTGAGAGGAAAGGAGATATTTGCCGTGAATTGCTTACCTTTGAACATTCCAGGCGTGTTTGTCTCCGGTACTTTTGCTTACAGTTTGCTCGGGGTGAACTGGATTATAGCTATTCATGGTTGTATTGAGATCATACTTATCTGATTGCAGTTCCATAAAAATCCCAAAAACTAGTGATTGCTTTCTAGTTTTGTTTATAGTTCGCATTGTATAAATTGGAAGACAACTGTTAACAAGTTGTAATAAGATCTAACGTCTCTCATTAAAGCCCTTTCAAAAATGTCCAAAATATAGTCCCTTCGTCGGTGATAGGGACTTCAAAAGATAAAACACCCATGATGATTACCAAAATTTTCCATTCTCAGTCTTTACATCTCAAAAGCTCTATTGTAAGAGTGATATTTACTAGTTTTGTGAAATATTAATTTGCATGCTCGACAGACACTTTCTTGGTGAGGTTATTTTCATGGCTGCCTCCTCCTCGTCATTTGCTTCTTCAAAAGAGACAACCAATTATGCCAGGCTTTGCCGTCTCCTGGCAGGCATTGGATCTCAGGTACTGCGATCCACTTTTGACAAAATACATCCACCGGCGAATCTGCAAAACGTTTTGGGAAGTAAATCTGTGCACTACCCTACATTGCAAAAACTGTACAGAGGGAAAAAGAAAGTGCTGAATCCCACTCAATGGGGGAAGCTTTACCCTGCCCATTCGCCCGTGTCATCCGCAGCCTTTGACATCACACTCCTGACAGTGCTACTTAGAAATATCTGTGGTTTGAGTCCTCCTGCCACTGGTTGGGACCGTCTTCCCTCACCTGCAAGCACAAGCATCGCTGATGACATCGCCAGGGTGAAGTATTACAGGAACGCTGTATACGGCCATGCTTCTCAAGCCTTTGTGGATGATAGTAGTTTCAGTGCTTATTGGCAGGAAATACGAGAAGCTTTGGTGAGACTGGGAGGAGCTCAATTTCGAGTTGATATCGACAATCTTGAGCACGACTGCATGGATCCGGATATCGAGGAACATTATCGTGAACTGATGAAGCAATGGAAGAAAGACGACGATAGCATCAAGAACAAACTTGAAGAGATTGAAGGTAAGATGACCTGTTTTCAATGCCTTTTACATGGAGCAGTGTCCTAGAATGTGCTCTTTCTAATTTGTTCAAGAAGGGCAGCCTGTTAGGAAGTCATCGGGTATTCGTTGATAAATGCATCCTATTTTTGTACCTTAAAAACGCGACACTTGCGTTACTAAGATGTGTACCTTAAAAACTCGAAAGTATGATGTGATGGCGTTTCGCTGTAGGCCGTTTGCGAAAATGATCTGGCTGGTATTTTCATCGTCCAGAATGCCTATTGTTCTCGCGACGTTTTCTTGCAGTAGAAAAAAAATAATCATAGATCTGTAATATTAGCGGCGAACCGTGCACCAGTTGGTTTTTGTTGGTCGAGAATTTGCGCCCCTTCCTCCACAAGGAATATTGCCCTTGCTCATTAACTTGTCAGGGTGGAGGTAGGAAACGAAGGCCATGCATGTTATTGTTAGTGGATTTGTTTTCGTTTTATCCCACATCTAACCGCTAGTTTTTAAGGGTCGCCATATCAAATGCTAAAGCCTGCCAAAGGCTTTTTGCGCCTGAATTTCTGCCAAAGGCAATTGCATTCTTCTTTTCACCCCATCCTTGATCAAAATACACCCGAAAAGAGGTTAAAAACGAAGAGGAAATGCGCTAAAGAATACTCGGAAAGAAAAAGGCTTCAAAGTTTCGAAATCGACGATTAAACATACTAAGAAACCATATGGAAATATTTTGTCGGAATGTACGCTAAAATCATCAAGGTGGTATTTCCGTTTAATTTTTTGCTCCATTCTTGATCAAAGCACACCTTTAGAGACCTCGTCAAAATCGACGATGACAACAGCATCAACGATAGATAAGGAAATATTACGAACGATATGTTACATATATTTGGCAACTGGTTTGAAGTGTTTCAGGGCTCGAAATTAGCACTCGCAAACTCGTGAAATGCGAGTGGTTTTTCGAAGTTGCGAGTCTAAAAAGTATCCTCTAGCAAACATTTGCTAGTTAGGTTCCTTCTTTTGCTAGTAAAAAAAATCTTACTAGCAAAACTTTGCTAGTAGACAAAAAAGTTAAGTTCGAGCCCTGGTGTTTTGAAGTTTTAAAGATTTGTTTGATTTGACGTTTTGACATTTACATTTCAATCTGTAGAGAGCATAAAACAGTCACTGCAGGAATTCAGTAAATTAATGGACACCAAACTTACCAGGATGGAGATTGAAATGAAGGAGTTGAATGAAAAGCTGGGTAACCAGGCAGTCTCAGCTGAGGGTTGCAAGGATGAAGGTCAGTTGTTGAAAAACTACCCTTAAGGGCACTTTTCACCTGTGAAGATTGGTGAATAATTGTATGTAGTCGTCATAATGCTTTTAAAAAGATAAAGCTAACAGTAAATTCTTTCAACTACCAGCTTGTACATATCACTTTGTACTTGCCGCCTTCGTGCACCTGAACATCGGTTTTTTTGTGGTATTACTGTTAGTAGACATTCCTTTTAGCGACCTTTACTGGTAAGTTACTTCTCAGAGAAGTTGAACTTGTTTCCGTAAATTAGTTCTTTTCGCACGATATTTTTCCTCGTTGCGACTTGTTCAAAAGGATCCTCGGCTGTTAGAAAAATTGCTGTGTATTTTAATTATATTCTGTACAGTATATTTACGAGTTTTCCGGTGTCACTTTGGTTTATTTCAGGTGCTTTTGATCCAACTGAGCTAATCGATGGAATTCGCCAACTGTGCGAGAGTCGCGAGGGATGGCTTTCACCATTTCCATGGTGTGAAGAGTTTCAGTATTTTGTCGGTGATATTTTTACAAGGCTCACAGTGGTCAGAAGAAAGAAAACGAGAGGAGAAGTCACTGACAAGATCATTACCATGTCGTCTCTCTTGAATCCACACGAAGAGTGTTCAGAACCGAAAACGGTGTTAATTGAAGGAAAACCTGGAATAGGGAAAACTACCTACTGTAAAAAGTACGTTTATGACTGGGCTACAAAAAAGCAGAACACCCATGATTGTGTCACAGACATAAAAGTAGTGTTGTTCCTTAAATGTCGTGATATCAAGTCCGATATTTGGGAAGCCATTGATGATCAGCTTCTTCCCCGAGATATCGACGAAAACGTCAAAAAGCAATTCTTCCAATTTATTCGTGCCAACCAATCCAGCATTTTATTAATATTAGATGGACTGGATGAGTTACCTTCCAGTAAAGTGCCAATGGTTTCAGAAATAATTGCCGGAAGAGTGCTTCAGAATTGTAAGGTGGTGGCAACAGCACGACACGAAGCTGGAGTAAAGGTAAGAAAATTCTGTGACACCCTGCTTCAGGTCGAAGGTTTTACTGAAGCACAAGCCAGAGAATTTATCGCCAAATACTTTAAGGAAAAGTCAGAGTTAGCTGAAAAGCTCTCGGCACGAATATCACGCGATGAAAACCTTAGAGAAATGTGTGCCAATCCATTGAACACGGCCCTGCTTTGCGTTATGTGCGAAGAATTCGATGGTACCCTTCCGGAAAAGAGAACTACGCTGTTCTTGAATATGATTGAATGTGTCTTAAGAAGATATAGGAAAAAGACAGAACTACCAGATACGAAAGAAGATCTTACAAACCTTTACAAACCGCAGTTGAAAACCCTTGGATTTATAGCGTTAAATGGTTTAAAACAAGACAAGTTGGATTTTGAAGAGAATGAATTAGGAAAGCATGCCAGCGACTTGGCTGCCTTCGGATTTCTGTCAGTTCATCCCGGAGGAAGTAAACTGAGGCGGAGTCTGCGTTATGCATTTCTACACAAAACCTTTCAAGAATGCTTCGCAGCATTCTATCTCTGTTGTGAGATTCAAGATAAACGAACTACCCCTAAGGAGTTAGTTTCAGATGACCAATATTTCCTTACCACCCAGGTGCTATTGTTCTCGTGCGGCATTTTAGCAGAACAGTCCGATCAAGAAGCTGAAGCTCTTGTCTCCAGTTTAGGAAAGCGGGTTAACAATCCCGCCAGCAAAAACTGTCGGAGTGTCAAATTTCTGTTGGAGGCCATCAACGAATGTAAAAGAAAGCAAGATGATTTTCACCTACGGCTAGCAAGATGTTTTGGTAGCGATTTGAACCAAACAGATCTTTATTTCGAATATCAGTTCCTAAGTGAAGGACTGGCGATAATCCTTTCCGAGGTAATCAGAGCCAACGCGACCCTAATTACTTTGGGCTTGTGTTTTGGATGTATGAGTGATTCCGGTGCTACATCTATTGCGGAGGCAATCAAAGTCAACAAGACTTTGACCTCTTTGGATTTGTCTAACAATCGTATTAGTGATGCCGGTGCTACATCTATTGCTGAGGCAATCAAAGTCAACAAGAGTCTCACCGATTTGAAATTGTTTGGCAATGGTATCAGTGATGCCGGTGCTAAGTCCATTGCAGAGGTAATCAAAGTCAGCGAGACTTTCACCTGCTTGGATTTGTCTAACAATCGTATTAGTGATGCCGGTGCAACATCTATTGCTAAGGCAATCGAAGTCAACAAGGCTCTCACTCATTTAAAATTGTCTGGCAATGGTATTAGTAATGCCGGTGCTGAGTCTATTGCTTTTGCAATCGAAATCAACAAGACTCTCACCCATTTGGATTTATCCTTTAATGGTATTAGGGATGCCGGTGCTAGATCTCTTGCTGAGGCAGTCAAAGTCAATCAGACTCTGACCTCTTTGAATTTGTCTAAGAATCGTAGCAGTGATGCCGGTGCTTCATCTATTGCTGAGGCAATCAAAGTCAACAAGACTCTCACCAATTTGAATTTGTCTCGCAATGGTATTAGTGATGTTGGTGCTCGTTCTATTGCGGAGGCAATCAAAATCAACAAGACTCTGACCTATTTGAATTTGTCTTTTAACAGTATTAGTGATGCTGGTGTTACATCTGTTAAAGAGGCAAGAAAAATTAGCAAGACTCTCACCGATTTGAATTTGTTTGGCAATAGTATCAGTGATGCTTTATGTCCACACTCTGAAAACTGGAAATTCTGATCGCCAATAGAAACACGAAAAATCCTGAAAAGTCTCAGAAGACTCGATAAAAACTCATGACAGACCTTAGTTCAATTTCCCTGGTCGGCAATTTCGATTTCGAGGTTTTTTTTTAAACTTAAAAGCGGGTTACGCAAGCCGCAGTAGAACCCGTTAATGTTTGCTGGCGAGGTACGATCATCGCAGATTGCTTAGACTTCATGCCCACGTGTTATTCCTTGTCGAATTTCTCTATTTCTCTATTTCACCCCCAAGAGCGACCAGCATCTAATTTCTTCGTACAAGCTCACACCTGAATCACGCAGTGAGGTCTTGAGAATAAATGAAACAATCACCAACTAAAGATGATCTCGATTGTTCAACAAATTCTCCCTGTCAGCACCTCAGGAAACGTAAGGAGAACAGAGGGGAGAATATGCTTACTGATGTTAGGGTGTAAAGCGTTAATGCGTGCTTAACCAGGTTCATAGTTATAGTTGTATGATTCGTTGTATATGTATGCATCCTATAGCACCGCTGAAAATAAATTAGGGATCTTTAGCAAACCATGACGGCGAAGGAAACGAGGACGTGGCAAAAACAAAAGATCTGTGTAAAAACAAAAGAATTGTGTACATTTGTGAGCCTTCCTTAGCAAAATAAGAACGGAAATTATCCAAATTTGCGTGGTCTGAGAAATGAAACCCCAACGGTAAATTATGTTAGTTTCCATTTGGAACTCAACGCCGCTCTCATATGTTATGCTGCGGTTAACTTGTGGTGCTGTAACAGATGGTAAATACATCTAGTCATTCGCGAGATTCCAACTAAAAACATATATTTATTTTTAAATCGACGTCTTCCTTGGCGTTGCCGTCCTAACTGCTGAGGGTCTCTATCACAGCTAGGGCGCAGTTTTCCACGCCTTGTTTTTCTGAGTTTAGTTTTGAGGAAAGGATTTAAAGGCTATCCTATAGGAAGCAGTAACTACGAATCGCTAGATTGATCCTTTCTGTAAATCGATGTAGTCGTTGTTTCTAAGAATACAAGGAAGTTGGATGCATACTGATTTGTTGTGTTGTATTTCTTTTTCGCCAAGCGAAACTGTCCCCGTAGCCAATGATTGCAAGGTTATTTTTGTTGGATAACTGTTTGGTCTTGAACACATACTCTTTTTCGGACTTTTTTGTGCACAGTGATGTCATAAATTTTTGACCGCTGCCACAATCTCGCCTGATTGGTGAGAGTCAGTAGTTTTCAAGAGTCAAATCCAGACTCTCATATCTCTTTGACTCCCCCTAAGTACCTTTCTTCTATTCCTACCGAAAGCCATGTGATCCCTTCCCCCCCTCCCTCTAAAAAAAGGCAACAACGACAACAACAAAAATTTTAAAAATCATCCGATCTACTTTCCCTAGGCGCTAGGTGTTTCTTTTGAAACTTCTGAAGAAGGGAGACTGGGCGAGAAGGAAACCAGTAATCGGAGCATGTTTTTGTTTTGTTTTTTCGTTGGATAAATTCTGGATTGGCGACTGTGTAATTAACACGAGGGAGCAAGAGTGTGTCTCGCAAGATCTGGCGCAGGGTGCTTTGCGGTACTTTCCGACAACGTACTTTCTGTCATGGAGCTTTCCTCCTTAGTTTTATGACCGATTGGCCCTTAAAATAGGTAAAGATCACAGAGGCGAGCGTACTAAGAGCATAATCGAAAGCCGTTTTGACTCTTGATTATGAGCGAAATATCACGCGATGGAATAGAAGCATAATTTCCTTTTCTTTGTTCTATCTGAGCCCCGAAAGTTCGTGATGGAGAGTAAATATCCATGGAGGCACTTGGTTTACAGAATTGCACTTGTGGTGACAACTCTGCATTAAGCGAAACAACCTAATTTCAAAGGCATTCCAGCCTGCGCTCAAACACCTGACATTTCCCCTCAATTTGGATTTTTGTTCGAGAGTACCTGTATGACTTCACAGTGTGAGCCTGTCAGTGTAGCGATTTAGCTTGAATCGTTCTGCCATCGGTAAAGGTTACAATTTTTTATAATCTACCATATTTATAAGAAACGATATTAGAGTGGTTTGACCGCAGGTAAACCTGGAATTGGTGGATTCATCTAGAAAGTGGCTGTCGAGCTTTCTTTCAAGAAATATTGGACTAAACTAAAAAACACAGGGCCACTTTTAAGCGTTTAGCAATCGAGCCGGCTCGTTTGGCTCGTTTCCCTCATCATTGCCGAGATTACAATTCCAGAGCCCTCACCACATAGTTAATGGTATTGTTTGGGATCACGAAGTTCTCTCACTAATATGCAAGTAAATGGGTCAATCCAGTACAATCTGGATATAATATCTGTATCGAAAGAGTCCCTTGGCAGGAAATGAGTGTAGTTAAATCATAGTGCCCCATTCACTCGATATTTTCTACCTATCAAGTTCACTTCAAGTGTTACTTTAGAAAACCCTTGCTTCCACCTACCACAAAATATAACGTGAACCAATGAAATGACGCGCGTGATAAGTGTCAGTACAGGCATAAATGGCGTAAGTTTGGCCCATCATATCTCTTAAGCAAGCGCAGTGACCTATCCTCTTAATTGAATTTTTCGAAACAAAAATGGGCAAGGAACATTTAAGGAAGGTTAAAAAAATTTTTCGATGGTTTTATTTCTGAGAAATCACCTTAACAGGGCATGTGAAGTGATTTATTGGCGAGGAAGTGTCCTTGCAGCGTGTTGTAATGTTAGCGATGGTCACTCAGATTTAACTAAGCAGGGTTGCAATTGAAAAATCAGCCCCACAAGAGACTTGTGGCGATAAGGATAACCCCCTTAATGGTAATATTTAATATTTATATAGCGCAAATTAACATACAGGAGGATATGATCAATTGCGCTTTACATATTAATAAATAAAATTACTGTTACCTATTTAAATGCGAAGATGTATACAATATGAAACACTAAAAAGAAATTATAAATTAAAAACTTCTCTAAAATAGAGAGTTTTAAGCAATGTCTTAAGTGTTGAAATTTTGCTGTGATTTTAACGATTGCGGGAGATTGTTCCAAATCTTGGCGGATGCGTCGGAAAAGGTTCAATCGCCAAGCGTTTTTATTCCGATCGTCGTGAATGGTCTTCCAACTGGATACTGGTGCTAGCGTCTCGTTTTCACGTGACGCAATATATCTTTTTTTGTTTTTTTCAATTTGTTTCCTCTCTCGCTCCACTGAGAAGGGTTGTTGGAATTATGCCTGCTAGCCATTTTTAAGGTTATGTTTACAGAGGTACTC